CGTGCTATTGAGCCGGACAACAACAAGACAACCTACTATCAAGGTTGGGTGGCGGTGGCAAAGCTCGCACCTCGGACCATAGGTTCCAAAGCACGCCGGTGACATTGACTAAACCACTGCAACACCAACACCACCCCATAGTGAAAAATTACTGACTTTATGAACTGTAAGTGAATTGAACTATAATTTAAAAAAATAGTCATTAGTTTAAAACACTGCACAAATCGGCCTCTTTGATAGATTAAACTAGTTTAAGACCTTACTACTTTAGATTAAAAAAAACGCATTCATCACAGGCAGTGCACGACAATGGACGCATCTCTCTTCAGGATTAGGAGCGACTGGGATAGGAACGCCGCCTACAAGCATGCACCAATCACAAAAGATGTGGAGGACAACAAACAACACATGCGCAGAACCAGTGTCTATGAATTCGTATTGAGCGTACAATATCGCACTACGCAATACGCCATTCGCTTAATATGGGGACGTGGACACTAGCTCACGCTTAAGAACTTCAGCTTGCGGTTTGAGTCCCAGCAAGGACACATAATGTTAATGACTCTCAACAAGGAAGGGATAGCTACTCTTTTAACTTCGTCTGCCGTTGCAGGACTGCATCAAACAGAAAATGTTTTGATCCGAAGATGGAAAAGTAAAGTTAGGTGAGGAAAATTAATTAATTTCATCTATTAAGAAGATCATTCAGATACGAGTTTGGGCAAACTTACCATCAGGAGAAATTGAAAGATTCACCGACATCCCCTCCTTCAAGGTGTAAAGTGGCAGCTTTCCACGGTTCATGAAATGCACCTGATCCAACTTTAACCGGGACACAGCAAAGACGCGGACTATTCCGTCTTGACAAGCAGCTATCAAGTGCCCACCGACTCGATTGATTTGTGGAAAAGGGTCGAACAAGATGCGTACTTCTCCCGGGGGAAACTGATCCACGGGTGGTGTGCGTCTCGAATGTACCAAAATCACGGACATGGGAAGCCAGCACAGGTCCAGAACATGACCCCAATTATGAGCAATAAACAGATGAGGAGTAGGAGCCCAGTCGGCAGGTCTGAAACAATAAGTGAGCAACATCCAGTGGAGTAATTAAGGAATAAGAATGCGCAGTCAACTTCCATTTGAAATTTAAAAAACGATTGACTCCACTATAGGAGACCAAATGAAGATAAAACGATCGGGATCCATTATTGAGACAACTCCGTGCGGCTATAGCACCCTTAATTTTTAGTTTTCACATAACGTTCAGCTCTTCTTCTTTTGTAGCTCCGAAAAAATGCTCCCAGTAGACACCGATAAATCACTCGACAAGTGGGGTACAAACAGGTTGAAGGTAGCTGAGGGGTTAACGAGCGTTTCATTGAGACGGAGCTTTGCTGCTCAGAAGTTGGCTGTGCAAATATTAAGATACATCCTCGAACAGAAGACCAAACTGGTACTGGAAACCCCTTTTACATAATCCCCCTGGTACTATCTCAGGTATACATCTATTGTAATGTTGCCCTTTTGCTAGGGCGTACAGTCAGTCAAGTTGTCTTACACTCTTCCAACGATAGGAATGATACAACAGCGAGCTGGAAACCTCAGTGACGGGAAATATTTTAGATCGTATGCAGGAGTGTGCGAACACCTACGGACGGAAAGACAGAATTTCTACAAGGAAAATGCAATCAGTCATCAGAGTACGGAATGCCCGCCATATCCCTATAGGACACCAGCGAAGGTTCCGACGTGAGACAATGGGCACAAACAGGAACGTTCGCAGCCTATATTGGACGCAAATTACAGCAATCATGGAAACCCCGTCAAAGACTGACAGTTATTTGGACAGACTATTTCGTTCCCCACAGAAGAGCCAAAAATGTAATCTGATTTGGTAGAATAAAAAACTTAGGTGAGGCAATGAGCTTTTTTTCAGAATCATGAAGTCTCAAAATATTGGTTGTGCATGTGTAAATACCAAGCAGTAAATAAAAATCTTTTACCGGTCTGTCCTTAGATTGAGACACCAGAACACACCAATTCAATACGAGGAAGGCCACTAAAGGTGTAAGAGCAAAACAACAGAACTTAAGTCCATCAGACGGTTTGGTCCAATAAAGTGTACGAAAAATCCCGCTGTTGACGGGTATGATCATTCCATTCACATTTTATTCTACTCAGTGGTGGAGAGGTACGCTCCTTCTTCCCTTCTTTAATGTAAAGGAAGAATGGAACAAATGCAAATATTCCGGTAATATCGAGGGACTAGTGAATTGTCAGTAGTAGGTTGCTCTCATGACCGAACAACAAGCCTTTTCAATCACACTGTTTACCCATTGTATTGTTCATCAGTATGAGCTGCGTAACTAAATTTACGTTACACAACTCAGTGAGTGTGATGGAAGTTACAATGTCATGAATGAAGCATGATCACATAAAATCGTCTTTCACTTACGGGCTTTTAAGGCAGATTTTTCCGCAATCCCAAACTTGTATTAGGCCAGAATGTGTGGTGAAAGAATCCGTGTAGAATATTCGAGTGTCAGGTGATGGCAAAGTTGATATAGCCAAATACACAGTATCTACCGTTGCACCGCATGAATCCATACTATGCGAAGCATCTGGCGATGTGCGCGAGGGTGACCAAGAAAGAGCTTGTACCAAACCACCAACAAACAAAAGTTTGTTATCTATGAAAAAATCAACGTTGTAAACAGACCAACTCGGACAGAAAGCACAAACCTGGATCAAATTCAAAGCGACGCAACTGTCTATACTCCATTGAGTTTGAATGGCAGGAGTATACAGGACTAGTGGAAGGTCCCGGAAGGCAATGCATTGGATCACTTAACCACATATTTGCAACACTCAAATGACACTTACTCCAACGGATATGTAATCCAGGACAGCGTGTTAGGAAATAAAGCGCTTTGTCTTGCTTCGAATTCATCTTTGTAGCGACTGAAAATGCGCAGAATACATAATTTAAAAGGCACATGTACCTTGAGTGAAAGAGGAATGGGTGAAACTTTGTGTCAAATGTACATTTCAACTGTTCCATAGCTCTTAAGAAATACCCCATAGCAATATCTCTGCATCCTTTCAACTGTCTCATTCGACAAGATACCAAATACTTGACAGCAGGGGAAAAAGCACTCATAGCAAGAGAACTTATGCTTCTCTGCATTGCAGCGCTCAAGTAGGTCTCGTTTTCTTGTCCCGATGATCGCATCCCCTTTATGGAAGAAACACTTGAGTCAGACGGTTCATCCGGCATAGTGGGGGACTGCGTCCCTTCAGTAGACTCTTCACTCAGTGAACTTTCTGATTCTGACGACGAACTTTGAGAAGGCTGAAATCCAGCACTGGAGCCATCCGAACCATCTTTATCGATGTCGTCTTCGGATTCCAATTGTTTGGCGATACCACTGAGTGCCTTGAGGCACGCCTTCGCCGAGGAACGAACAGACCTACGCGGTTCTCCCATGGCTGAAACGATCAATACGGTAAGATGGTGACAGGTTTTGTTAAAAAAAATACTGAAAATGTATGAGGGAGTTAGCACATGCTTGTATAGTATTGCTGGTTTAGCTTATGGGGGCGTGTTTTCCTCCTTAATGCACAGGCACGGGTCACCAAATAAAAAAGGAAACCCAAAGGTCTTACGTAAACGATCTGTGGAATCACTCATAAAGTTTACTAGATTGTTGGTATTTCTTATTACACAACTGTGAGGGACAGCAGACGAGATGGAACCCCATAGTCACGCAGACCTGCTGTTCAGTGTTGGTAACCGGCAACCTAAGCCAGCCCCGTTAGATTAGGCGTGGTACAGAACCGGGCGACAGCAAAGCTGTTTACCACCCACGTTCGGTGGCGGTGGTAAAGCTCAAATCTCGGACCACAGGGTCCAAAGCACGCCGGTGACAGCTACTAAACCATCAGGCTGATTGTGCGCACGTCTGATGATCATCTGAACTCGAATAGCGAACACGTGCGTCGGAAGTCAAAATCCTTATCCGCGAACAATAATTTCAGTTTTCAGTTTATGCAATCATTAACCATGCACTTTTGTGCGTCGGTTTTGGTTGCCGTCTTCTGGTTGTCCATTGGAATGAACAGTAGGAGAAAGACAGGAAACTTGAAAGCAGAATCGAATAGAAAATGGGGGATTTCAACGGACTAATATAAGTTGTAATTTTGAAAACCATGATGTCAGTACGGGTGAAAATAAGCCGACGTTTCGGTTATTGTGGGCAACCTTTAACAAGGCGATTTTACAATCGAATGTGAAATCGCCTTGATAAGGGTTATACACGGTAACCGAAACGTCCGCTTTGTCATAAACTAATGCGTTACCCTATTTCACATGGAACTTTATTAACTCGCACTTTTCTTACATTGTAGCTTTTGTACTACGATTGCTAGAAGATTAAAGCCTATATACGGTCAGACTCCTCTTCTGCATCACTTCGTAGCTTTCGAAAATAACAATTTAATCTTCTAACAATGGAACGTCTTTTCCGCCCCGAACGCTTTGATGCTGATCCTCATTCACCTACAGCAGCTGAGCAATGGATTCATCCGACAATTTTCTTTCAAAGGTAGAGATCCTCGAGGTTTATACTAGAAAACTCCTTATCAACTTCATCTCTCCAGCAATTTATCGACAAGTTATCGACTGTTCCACTTACGAGGAGATGTTACGAGGCATAGAAGCTCCGTACATCAAACCGAAAAACGAAGTCTTTGCGTGCCATGTATTAGCAACAAATAAACAGGAAAATGGACAGTCTGTCGATCAGTTTATACAGAAACGACGCAGCCTCGCTGTTGAGTGTAACTTCTTGTCCGTTTCTGCTGAAAAGTATCGTGACAAGGCTATTCGCGACGCCTTCATCGCAGGACTAATGTCTAATAGCATTCGCCAACGACTTTATGAGAAGTACAATGTTGATCTTCAACATGCATTCGAAGAAGCTGACATGATGGAACATGCTCAGCAACAGTCACAACTCTGTGATTCAACCTCCTATGTCCCATGCGGTGCTACATCCATGCCGTCATATGTAGCAGCTCCGGTTCCTGTACGAGAAGCTTCGGAACCTCAAACCGAAAGACAGGAAGTAATCGGAGCAGTGTCTACCCTCTGCTTTTTCTGTGGGCGAACAAGACATCCTCGCTCCAAATGTCCCGCCCGGGAAGCTATTTGTAATTCATATAGGAAGAAGAGGTATTTCCAAGGGGTCTGACGATTCAATCCTAAAACCAAATGGGCAATTTCAGCGATAAATCCCAGCATTTCATCACTCATTGCTACGCCATCATACACGGGGCTGTCTAAATCTACAGTGCTAGTTCACACTATTGGAGTACCGATGTACGCGCTTATAGACACTGGTAGCTGCGAGAGCTACCTATCACCAGATATTCCAGTGAAATACAACTGGCCTGTGAAACCTTCTGAAAGCACCATATTTATGGCTTCGAAGCGCCTATCTTGCATCACTTCTGGATATGGTTACGCTTCTGCACAATATAAAAAACAATCACCATGGCGGAATTAAACTTTCCCTTTTAAACAATCTGTGTACGGATGTAATTTTGGGTCACAATTTTCTCAGTTAACATAAAAACATAGTTATTCCTTTTCATGGACACCGACCGTCTCTCTTCCTATGTGCTCTCAAGGCTGCACACGTCGATGCTCCTCCTCTATTCAGGGCATTTACCGCCCAATTGTGTTCCCATCGCCACCAAATCACGCCGTCACTCTGCCTCGGATTTGTCTTTCATCTNCTAGACCGAAATCCGTAAAATTATTGATCGACCATATTATCGAGCCTTCAGACTCACCCTGGCGAGCACAACTCCTTGTGACTACAAATGAGAGACACAAGAAACGCATGGTTGTCGACTACAGCCAAACAATTAATCGATTCACTCATCTCGATGTGTACCCTCTCCCAAAGGTTGACTAACTAATTGAGAAAGTGTCTCACTACACCTCCTTCAGCACCTTCAATGTTCAAAGTGCTTACCATCAAATCCCCATCCGCGAAGAATATAAACCTTATACAGCCTTTGAGGGATGCGGTAAGTTGTATCAATTCCGCCGCCTTCCACTCAGAGTTACGAACGGAGTGGCCTGCTTCCAACGCGCCATAGATAATATTATCCGTGAAGAAGGCTTACAAGATACTTTTGCCTACGTCGACAATGTCATTGTTTGCGGCGACAATGCTCAAGAGCTTTCTGGAGGCTTCCAATAGACGTGGAATAACGTTCAACGAAAGTAAGACTATCATTTCTGCCACCAAGATTCAACTCCTGGGATCCGAAATCACACATGGGATGGTTAAACCTGGCCCTAAACGATACCGCACTCTACGAGAGTTATCTGCACCTTTCGACATTCACTCACAGAGAAGAGTAGTCAGAATGTTGGCATATTATGCCCAGTGGATCCCTCATTTGTCTGATAAAATCCACATTTTGGTAAACAACCGGACATTCCCACAACCCAGAGAAGTGGAGGAGGCGTTGTAAAACATGACAAAGGAATTGGAAAAAGCCGCTGTGTTTACAATCGATTATAACCGTCTCTTGGTAGTCGAGACAGACGTATCCGAAATTGCCATAGCTGCCACGCTCAACCAGGACGGAAGGCCAGTGGCCTTTTTCTCTCGCACTTTATGTCCCAGTGAGCAACATCATTCTGCTATCGAAAAAGAAGCTTGTGCCACTGTCGAATCTCTAAGAAAATGGAGACATTACTTACTCAGCAATCATTTCACTCTTATCACTGACCAACGTTCATGTATGATAAACAACACAAGAGAAAGGTGAAAAGGTGGAAACTGGAATTCTCGTGTTATCATTATGACATCCGGTACCGTCCCGGTGACCGAAATAAAGCTGCTGATACACTATTCCGGAACAACTGTCTCTCTGCTGTCACGCACTGACTTGGAACATTTACATAATACACTCTCTCACCCCGGTATTACGAATGTTACATTTTGTTCGTTCTAAAAATCTACCGTTCTCATTCGATAACATCAGTGTGCAACGTGTGCTGAACTTAAGCCCCGCTTTCTCAAACGACATTTTGGAAAACTCGTTAAAACTGCACAACCATTTGAAAGAATCAGTATTGACTTTAATTGTCCATTCCCATCCATATACCATAACAAATACCTCTTGACGAACATTCACGTTTTCCCTTTGCTTTTGCTTGTTCGGACGTTTCTTCATCGACCGTCATGAAGTGTTGCAATCAATTATTTTCACTGTTTGGGTTACCTTCATATATCCATTCCGATCGCGGAGCATCCTTCATGTCTGATGAGTTGCGAAGTTTCCTTCATTGCAAAGGAATCGCTACCAGCCGAATGACCCCATATAATCCGCGCGGTAACGGATAGGTATGCGATTAAACGGCACTTTATGGAAAGCCATCACACTATTGCTGAGGTCTGAACAACTGGACCTCTCCCAGTGGGAAAGTGTACTTATGGATGCCCTGCACTCTGTCCGTTCTCTACTGCGCACTGCCACCAAAATACCTCAAGAAAGATTACTGAATTTGAATCACAGGTCCACCACTGGTTATCGAATCCAGGTCCTGTTTGGCTCAAAAAGATGACACATTCCTCGAAATACGACCCTTTAGTGGAAGAGGTAGAACTCCTTGACTGCAACCTTCAGTACGCATGTATCCGTTTATGAAAAATTGAATCAGAAAACATTGAATCGTAGCATTCATTCTTAAATGGACTGGCTCTGAAACAGCTTTCTATCCAAATGTCACCCGGTGATGCAAACAAGGTTATTGTATCGAAAATATACTTCCTGGGTACAAGTATATGAATGAACTGGCAAAAGATTACCGGATACGCATGCCTGACGAGCGACAAGAACCGCAAAACCGGTCATGTGCTTCCAGGGAAATTTTGTCCAGCCATTTACATACTACTTA